AGCAGGACAACAACCCTAAAACATACAGCCAGAGCTACAATGGAATGGTTTAGATCAAAGCATATTCATGTGTTAGAATGGCTCAGTCAAATTCCACAACTAAATCCAATTGAGAATCTGTGGCAAGACTTGAAAATTGCTGTTCACAGACGCTCTCTATCCAATCTGACAGAGCTTGAGCTATTTTGCAAAGAAGAATGGGCAAGCATTTCACTCTCTAGATGTGCAAAGCTGGTAGAGACATCCCCAAAAATACTTGCAGCTGTAATTGTAACAGGTGGTTCTACAAAGTATTGACTCAGAGGGGCTGAATACAAATGCACGTCACACTTTTCAGATATTGTTTTGTTAAAAATGTTGAAAACCATTAATCATTTTCCTTCCACTTCACAATTACAGTTGAAACTCAAAAAATTTGAATATCGTGCAAAAGTTCAGTAAACTGGTAAAACATATTTGGTCAGTGCAAATCGTGTGTTTTTACACATTACGTCCATTAACACATTCCAAACCCAAATAAATACAGGTGAAACTCGAAAAATTAGAATACCGTGCAAAAGTTAATTTATTTCAGTAATGCAACTTAAAAGGTGAAACTAATATATGAGATAGACTCATTACATGCAAAGCAAGATAGTTCAAGCCGTGATTTGTCATAATTGTGATGATTATGGCTTACAGCTCATGAAAACCCCAAATCCACAATCTCAGAAAATTAGAATATTGTGAAAAGGTGCAATATTCTCGGCTCAAAGTGTCCCACTCTAATCAGCTAATTAAGCCATAACACCTGCAAAGGGTTCCTGAGCCTTTAAATGGTCTCTCAGTCTGGTTCAGTAGGAATCACAATAATGGGAAAGACTGCTGATCTGACAGTTGTGCAGAAAACCATCATTGACACCCTCCATAAGGAGGGAAAGCCTCAAAAGGTAACTGCAAAAGAAGTTGGATGTTCCCAAAGTGCTGTATCAAAGCAAATTAATAGAAAGTTATGTGGAAGGGAAAAGTGTGGAAGAAAAAGGTGCATAAGCAGCAGGGATGACCGCAGCCTGGAGAGGATTGCCAGGAAAAGGCCATTCAAAAGTGTTCGGGACTTTCACAAGGAGTGGACTGAGGCTGGAGTCAGAGCATCAGGAGCCACCACACACAGACGGATCCTGGACATGGGCTTCAAATGTCGTATTCCTCTTGTCAAGCAAGAGCCGCTCCTGAACAACAAATGTCAGAAGCGTCTTACCTGGGCTAAAGAAAAACAGACCTGGTCTGTTGCTCAGTGGGCCAAAGTCCTCTTTTCTGATGAGAGAAACTTTTGCATCTCATTTGGAAACCAAGGACCCCGAGTATGGAGGAAGAATGGAGAGGCACACACTGCAAGATGCTTGAAGTCCAGTGTGAAGTTTCCACAGTCTGTGTTGATTTGGGGAGCCATGTCATCTGCTGGTGTTGGTCCACTGTGCTTCATTAAGTCCAGGGTCAACGCAGCCGACTACCAGGAGATTTTGGAGCACTTCATGCTTCCTTCCGCAGAGGAGCTTTATGGGGATGCTGACTTCATTTTCCAGCAGGACATGGCACCTGCCCACACTACCAAAAGCACCAAAACCTGGTTCAATGACCTTGGGATTACTGTGCTTGATTGGCCAGCAAACTTGCCTGAGAATCTATGGGGCATTGCCAAGAGAAAGATGAGAGACATGAGACCGAACAATGCAGAACAGCTGAAGGCCGCTATTGAAGCATCCTGGTCTTCCATAACACCTCAGCAGTGCCACAGGCTGATAGCTTCCATGCCCCGCCGCACTGAGGCAGTAATTGCTGCAAAAGGGGCCCAAACCAAGTACTGAGTACATATGCATGCTTATACCTTTCAGAGGTCTGATATTGTTCTATGTACAATCCTTGTTTTATTGATTGCATGTAATCTAATTTTCTGAGATTGTGTATTTGGGGTTTTCATGAGCTGTAAGCCATAATCATCACAATTATGACAAATCACGGCTTGAACTATCTTGCTTTGCATGTAATGAGTCTATCTCATACAGGGGCGGACTGACAACTCATGGGGCCCTCGGGCAATAGGGGATCAAGGGGCCCCTGTGTCCTTGCCCAAACTCAAAAAAGCCTATGAAAAAGGTACCAGGGGCATCTCATGGGGCCCCCTACTGACCCCGGGCCCTCAGGCAGTGCCCGAGTTTCCAAATGGTCAGTCCGCCCCTGATCTCATATATTAGTTTCACCTTTTAAGTTGCATTACTGAAATAAATGAACTTTTGCACAATATTCTAATATTTCGAGTTTCTCCTGTATGTGCCACTTTGTGTTGGTTTATCACATAAAATCCCAATAAAATACATTTATGTTTTTGGTTGAAAATGACAAAATGTGGAAAATTTCAAGGGCTATGAATACTTTTTCAAGGCACTGTAAATGTATGAACGAGCTTCTTTTTTCAAGTGTCCCCTAGAGTCATGTTCTGTCTGTGCCCCCTGCTGCCAGAACCTAGAGTCCTGTGTACGTCTCTGCAATGTGTGTGCTCCTGCTCTGAACTACAACTCTACAAACAGCCAGAGCAAGAGGGACACAAAGCAAAAGCCACAGCTCTCCTCCTCCTCCTCCACAGCGGTGATGGACAGTGGTTCTGTGTGTGGCACTCTGAACAGCTGCACACAGAGTTGTAGTATAGAGTGGGAGTACGCACATTGTGGAGGCTCACACAGGATTTCATAGTTCCTGGCAGTACAGGGGGCACAAAGAGAACAGGATTAGGGTTTAGAGAGCAACACGGCCAATTGATAACAAAAAACTCTGAGGATAAAAAAAAAATCAAATGCATGTGAGTTATGTTATTTTTCATCTGATTTAAGGAAAACATTTACTACAATTTCAGTTAAAGATTTGGTCCTAATGAAAAGATTTTCACATATTCGTATTAAAAGATAAGTCTACCCCAATATATTTCAGGTTTAGGCAGATGACAGCTGGTTGAATTATCCACTAGCTACCTGTCCAAGGAATTTAAGTAGGGACATCAGTTGGGATTTTCATTTTTACTACAGTAGTATCAGAAAAGCAAAAGAAAGTCTGAGACCACTCCAGCTGACAAAGGATAAGAATGCACAGAATCATACTCTCTCGGGGTTACCACTGGAGTCACCAGGAGAAGAAGCTAAGTGATACAACCAGCACCTAGCTATCCATAACCAAAATGGTAATTTTGAGTGGACAGATCCTTTAATTTTTGTAGTTGTGACATGAATAACTAAGTAGCTATGGCCAACTAGCATTATTAAAAAAAAAAAAAAAAAAAAAAAAAGGCAAGAAGGCTGTACGCATAGCAAGAAAAGTTAAACTTTGCAAGTGAATTTTCCCCAGAGCTTAGTAAATGAGGTGAAATTTTACATTGCAATTAAAATAATAAAAATATTTTTTCTTTTTTCCTGGCTGATGGAAGTCAGCAGAGCTTCACCTCATTCACTAAGCTCTGGGGAAAATACCCATTCCAAGTTTAACTTCCCTTCCAAAGTGAACAGCATATTTACTTTTAGTAAATCAGCCCCAAAGATTAGTCATGGCTGCTTCTTTTTCTAATGATGGTTTTCCTATAATCCTGCTTTTGTATTTCATCTGTGTAGTTGCATATGTAAATTAAGAGGGGCTGGGACTACACTGGAGATTTCACTGGCTGTTGGCAGTATACCAAAATGAATCAAATGCTCATTTGCTGAATAGTGAAGTCAATGTGATGGTAATAAGGAAACTATCAACAAGCAGTTACATCTCTCTGTAGCAGGCAGGTTTATTCATTATTCTAACTATAGAGGTGGAGCTGGGAACTCTGGCGTAGAGGCCTTATGACCAGGATCTGAGGTATAAATCAAGAGTCATAGGGCAATTCAATTTACTGGTTGCCAAATAACCATTTTGGGTGGCATTTTGAACAGAAGAGTTATATACTATTACTAAATAACCCAAATTAAAGAGGAGCTCCAGTCTCCCCCCAAAAAATTAAAAGCAGCTACATATACTGTAGCTGCTGACTTTTAATACAAGGACACTTACCTATCCAGAGATCCAGTGCTGTCCAACCCGAGCCGATTTTTCAATCAACTTTGGCTCCAGGCACATGGCACTACTTGCTACCTGCATGGAGTTTGCATGTTCTCCCTGTGCTTGTGTAGGGTTCCTCCCATACTCCAAAGATATCCCAGTAGGTTAATTGGCTCCTGTTCGTTTTTTTTTTTTTTTTGTTTTTTTTTTGTAAATTCTTTATTTTAGTAACATGACACGGCAACAGTACAAAAATCAACGATAAACAAGAAAGTTTGCATTTCCAGAGACCCATACATGTGATCAACATGTGACACGAGAAAGAGACAATGGCATTCAACATGTCATATCTTCCCTGAGTAGTTGGGCTCGCAGGTCCAACTCCGTAAGCATAGAAGACACCCATCTGCTTAGTTCAGATGTCTCAAGATAGAGGGAGTTTCTGTGCCCCACGCTGCACCATTTAATTTTTCTTTTTTCCATCAATAAAAACAGCAGACAGGTAGAGAAATAGAGAAGGGGGAGAAGATGTAAAAACAAGGGGGGGGGGGGGGGAGGGAGGGAATCAGAAGAGGGGGAACCTATTCAACGCCATTTTCCCACAGGCCGTCACAGCTGTATGAGATCATAGAACAGGACAGTCTAGCGGATTACACCCAGCAGAGCGGCGTATTCTTCTGACTAGATAAATTCATGTCAATAGTGCCATTTCTTAAGGCTTGGCTCCTGTTCACATTGGCCCCAGCATGTGTTTGCATGCATAGGAGATAAGGACCTTAGATTGTAACCTCCTTGTGGGCAGGGACTGATGGCAGTCTCCTTCCAATACGTAAAGAGCTGCCTAAACTGCCTGCATATAAATACCTATAATAAATAAGCACCTTGTTGTTTTCCTTAAAGTAATGTGCTACTATGTATTTCTGCAGCTAAAATCTTTTTTTTTTTGTTCAAAGGAAGAGGACTCGCTTCAGATCGAAGAGAAGATTAAGTGGGGGGACAGTTTTGTCATTGTGTACTCGGTGACAGACCGTTGCAGCTTTGATGAAGTCATGAGATTATGTTTCCTCATCAACCACATTCACTCAGCCAATAAAAAAGGAGCACCAGAGCACCCACCTATTGTAATAGTAGGTAACAAGAAAGATCTCCAGTTTGATCGCATGGTGTCTACGGACGAAGCTGAAAAACTCTCCAAGGCATTGAAGCACCCTTACTTTGAAATTTCCACCAGAGACAGCTATGAAGAAACCACCAAGGTCTTCAATACACTCTATTGTGAGATGCAGAGGCAAGGCTGTCTCTCCCCGGCAACCTTCAAGAAGAGAAATGCATCAAAGTTAATGGAGAAGATTCCAAAAATTTATGCCAATTCTACTCTAATTGCAAATGGCAGGAGTTTGAGTTTTAATTCTTTTCGAGATTTTATTCCAGAGTGAAAAAAGAGAACACTTGCCAGTTCTATGTTCCTTCTTCAGTATACAGTCCTTAGTGATGAAAGATGTCCTCACTAGTATGGTGTATAGGTTAGAAAAGAATTTGGTTAAAACCTTCAGTTGACGTTGAGTTTGCCATAGGTCCTACTAAAACTATCTTGCCGAATCATTTGGCAAATAGTTTTAAACCTTGGGATGACTGAACATCAAAAATGAACTGCTGAGAACAAGGTGGCCAATGAAAACCGTTTTTGATTGGTTTATGAGTTGCTGCACATCCTTGCTCAATAAACCAAGTTATAGAATGATTTTAGATGCCAATCATATCCCCTTCCTGCACATCTAATCCATCTGAAACCACTTTTTATTGTCCACCATTAAGACTCATTCGCACATAATGCAGTGACTAGAGTTTTTCTGCACTGGATAAACACTAGTCTCTGCTAGGGGGCATAGAAATTACTTGTTTTCTATGTGCTCTATTTAAACTGCAACGCAGGCCGGAAGAGGTTTGCAGTGAGCCGCAGTAAAATGAAAACGTAGCATTTTACCGAAGTACAACGGTTGGCAACACGCATCCACTCAGCAATGTAACACACTGCACTGCTTTGCAGAGCGCAAAAAATTTAAAAAAAAAATACAAAAAGGTAAACAGTGTGATGCACTGAAACACTTATCACACTGCTACCTCACCAGGTCTTTACATAGCCGAAAACAGAAAGCTTTCCTTTTTGTAAATATCAGTCTTTTCTTGCACTGATTTTATTCCTACAGTGTTAAAGGATACGTTAACCTTTTAAAAAAAAAAAAAAATAAATGCATTTTTTTGCAGATAAAAAAAAAAAGTGGATTTACAATCAGCAGATCGCGGGTGCAATGCAGGTCTCCTGCATATTGTCAGTGTAAGTTGTCTGCCCGTACCTCATACAGGCAGGCAGTTACACAATGACAGGAGGAATCAATGAACTACTAGAGCATTCAACAGCCTCTGGTAATTTATCGAGAACTACAAGTCATCAGCTGCAAAGTCTATCAGTAGTTGTAGTTCATTCATTGACAGAACACCTTGAATGAATGACATGGCTGTAAGGGCAGAGCCCTGCATGGCCACACTCTTCAAATAGTGACAAGGGGGTGCAGGGAGAAGGTACTGTCACAGGGAGGGGGCAAGAGCAGGAACATATTAAATGTTCCACCCTAAGGGCTGGTTCACACCATAGAAACGCAGTTCGGGTGCATTACATAGTTATATAGTTAGTCTGGCTGAAAAAAGACAAAAATCCATCCAGTTCAACCATTAAAAAAAAAGTTATAATCCTACACCCACAGTTGATCCAGAGGAAGACAAAAAAACCCATTCCGGATGCATTTCTGTATGCGTGTTTTTGATGTGTTCCGGTGCTTTTTTGACTTTTTTTTTTATGCATTCCAGTTCATTTTTTTCCCTTTCTTTTTCCTCAATCTTAAATAAGGACATGTGCGTTCCAGTGCTTTTAGGTGCGTTTTACTGCGTTCCAGTACAGTTCAGGCACAGCATGTTATACTTTTTTGCTGGAACTGACTGCACTGGTGTGAACTATGCCATTTGAAACCATGTAACCTACTGTCAATTCGTTTTTGAAGCAGAAAAAGAACGCACTGGACTGCATGTAGTATGAACTGGCCCTAAAATCAGGTGGAACTTGTAGCATGTTCCAAAGGTGAACTTATCCTTTAACTATATGGCGTTTACTGCTGTTGTCATACCTGGAATATACATTAATGGTGGATAATAGAAACTGTGAAATATCCAGTGGATTTAGAGGTGCAGGGATTACAATGTGCATCATATTCTATACAGATGAACAATCTACAGTCCCACAAAGTGATATATTATTTGGACTGTTAAAGACCTTCCTTTATAAATATAAGTTAAAGAATGACCACAAAATGTTCACCTACTGTAAATGTTCACAGATTTAGGCTTGTCAAAATTTTAGGCAGTTTTATTAAATTGATCTGTTTGTGTGATAAATGTTCTTGATAATCAGCATTTGGCGTGTAGAGGATAACTGGTGGGAAACATTCTGATTCAGTAACTGTATGTGGTTTATATGTGCAATAATAGTCTTCAAAGTATTCCTTTTTTTTTCATTTCGTGTTCCCTTATTTATATTTTTCTCCACATTTACATGTGTCACATACCAGTAAGTGACAGTGACAGTGACAAGGGTTGGGACAAACTGTAACACTGCTAGGGCATTCATTTGGCTAAAAACTGAAGTTTAGCCCAAAAAAAGTTCCCTACGGCTTTGGTCACATCACTTACCTGTAGTGAAGTATGGCCCATGGGGGTTTATTTACTAAAGCTGGAGAGTCCAAAATCAGACTCCCTTCTGCATAGAAACCAATCAGCTTCTAACCTCAGCTTGTTCAATGAAGCTTTGGCAATGAAACCTGGAAGCTGATTGGTTTCTATGCAGAAGGGAGTCTGATTTTGGACTCTCCAGCTATAGTAAATAAACCCCATGTTGTCCAAGCAGCTGGATCCTGGAGAAACCTTCACTGCAGGGGTGCCCAGTCCAGTTCCTGGCTCTGAACTAGAACTTTTGTCAATGGAGGAAGTAGGAGGGGGTGTGTCCTCGTCTGACCATCTCTACTGCTGTTCTACCTTAAAAACCCAAAGATGTTAACCATTCCAGTGCTGGAAGGCAGGAAGCGGACAGGCATCCTAGCAGTGAAGATTTCCCCAGGATCCAGCTGCCTGCACAACATGAGACATCCTTCATTATAGGTAAGTGATGTAACCAGGGGCAGACTGACAACTCAGGGGGCCCCTGGGCAATAGGGGATCATGGGGCCCCTGTGTCCTTGCCCAAACTCAAAAAAGCCTATGAAAAAGGTACCAGGGGCATCTCATGGGGCCCCCTACTTACCCCAGGCCCTCAGGCAGTGCCCGAGTTTCCAAACGGTCAGTCCGCCCCTGGATGTAACTAAATTCTGCACCCTGAGTTGTGGCTGCAGCATCTGTACAGCTCCACTCTGCTGTATTGGGACAGTTCAGGTGGGTGGTAAAACTAAGGCTCACCCACCTTTGTTTTAACACATCCCCCCTTCCCCAACCGCATTTCTGAAAGAGCATTTATTCTCATCACAAAATCCTGTGAACAACATACTTCCTGTTCCTGGGAGGCTATGCTCACTCCTCCACTGTAGCCATAGTTGCTATTGAGGTTGTATTTAAACATGTCGGTCTCTTTTTTTTATCTCCATTACATGAGGGATAGGGAGATAGTAGTTTACAACTTCAACTTGGGCCCAACAGGGACCAGCAAAATCAGATGTTTTCTGAACTTTCAGAGAATATTAGCCTGGAAAAAGAAAACTAATGCAGTCACCACATCTCAGTACTGGTAAGCAGAAATTTAGGAATTTTTTTTCTGGATTTAGTTATCCTTTCTAGAAAATGCTGCTGCAACTGCTCAAGCAATAATAGTTGATTGCAACCCTTGTCACTGTAAACCTCGCTGCTCTGCTTTGGTATTCACGTAAATGCATATTATACTGAATATTATTGTATATATCAACTACAACATTTTGGGGTTTTTTTTTTTGCGAGAACTGTCCTTTAATTATGAAGTTGGAATGTATACACAGGGAAAGTTTGATATATACAAAAAGATTTATACAGTGACGTGCATACTCTTGTGATCCCACCATCCCTGCAATACTGCATACTCTTCTGATCCCACCACCCACCCATGCTATACTGCATACTCTTCTGATCCCACCATCCCTGCAATACTGCATGATCCCACCATCCTGCAGCACTGCATACTCTTCTGATCCCCACCATCCCTGCAGCACTGCATACTCTTCTGATCCCACCCACCCCAACCACTGCTGATACATACTGCATACTCTTCTGATCCCACCATCCCTGCAGCACTGCATACTCTTCTGATCCCACCATCCCTGCAGCACTGCATACTCTTCTGATCCCACCATCCCTGCAACACTGCATACTCTTCTGATCCACCACCCCTGCTATACTGCATACTCTTCTGATCCCACCATCCCTACAATACTGCATACTCTTTTGATCCCACCATCCCTGCTATACTGCATACTCTTCTGATCCCACCATCCCTGTAATAATGCATACTCCTCTGATCCCACCATCCCTGCTATACTGCATACTCTTGTGATCCCACCACCCCTGCAACACTGTATACTCTTCTGATCCCACCACCCCTGCTATACTGTATACCTTTGTGATCCCACCATCCCTGCAATACTGTATACGCTTCTGATCCCACCACCCCTGCAACACTGTATACTCTTCTGATCCCACCACCCCTGCAACACTGTATACTCTTCTGATCCCACCACCCCTGCTATACTGCATACTCTTCTGATCCCACCACCCCTGCAATACTCTTCTGATCCCACCACCCTGCAATACTGCATACTCTTCTGATCCCACCATCCCTGCAGTACTGCATACTCCTCTGATCTCACCAATTGCTGCTATACTGCATACTCTTGTGATCCCACCACCCCTGCAACACTGTATACTCTGCTGATCCCACCATCCCTGCAACACTGTATACTCTTCTGATCCCACCACCCTGCTATACTGCATACTCTTCTGATCCCACCATCCCTGCAATACTGTATACGCTTCTGATCCCACCACCCCTGCAATACTGTATACTCTTCTGATCCCACCACCCCTGCAACACATTATACTCTTCTGATCCCACCACCCCTGCAACACTGTATACTCTTCTTTATCCCACCACCCCTGCTATACTGCATACTCTTCTGATCCCACCACCCCTGCAATACTGCATACTCTTCTGATCCCACCACCCTGCTATACTGTATACTCTTCTGATCCCACCACCCTGCAATACTGTATACTCTTCTGATCCCACCCCCCTGCAATACTGCATACTCTTCTGATCCCACCACCACTGCAATACTGCATACTCTTCTGATCCCACCACCCCTGCAATACT